CCTAGCTTTGGTTATGTTGCAGATATGAAGCCCGTTATGCAGATAAGCTTCCAGATATCATGCTGGGACAGACATTTATTGAGGAATACTCGGATCATGATGATCCGGTCACAGTGATTGATCAAAAGCGTTCTTACAGTGTTAAAGCTCCTGCCAGACACCCTATATACGAAAACTTCCGGGTCAAGGTCGGTCTTTTGTTATTTCACAATCTTCTTCTGTTTTATATCCTTTTCTGGGTTGTTAATATCTATGCGTAGCGTATAATCAAGATGATTGTGAAATGCTTCTTCTTGTAGACATTTAAAGCCCTATTGACTTCTGCAACATCAGATGAGCAACTTACTGCTCTTGGGGGACTTCTTTATCAGGTATTACTTCAAACTACTGTGAGACCAAGAGTTGTTGAGTTTCTTGTCCTGGATTTAACATGTTGTTGATGCTCTTTTACTATACTTGTTTTGTTCAGTGTCACTATAGCTACAGCGCATGCGGACTGGGATCGGATGGAACCAACCGGCTGGTGCAGTTAGTACAAGGGATGCAGCATAACAAGTCTAATTCCGAGGACGGAACATTGTATGGAGCCAAAATTACAGGCGGTGGATCAGGTGGAACGGTCTGCGTCATTGGCCGTAACTCATTGCGCAGTAGCCAACAAATTCTCGATGTATGTAAACAAACTCGAGGTTCCAAGTTAGTAGGAAACAGTATATGTATATAAGCTCTAATTAATGGTGTGGTGGTGAATGTTCAGATTCAGCAGAGATACAAAGCTGCGACAGGGTATTTGCCACTGATATTCGAAGGATCATCACCTGGAGCTGGCAAGTTTGGTTACCTCCGGATCCGACGTCGTATCTCTCTCTGATTCCCATTCAACCTCTCCCTAATTTGGTAAACTTATATTTATCTTCATGCTACGTTTCTTAAAAATCATATTCATATAGGAGTATCATCTCACAAATAAGTAGGTACGTTGTTCTCCACTTTCAAATAATAAATGATGATAATATATCATCTCTTCTTTAGATAAATGATATGTATATACTGCAACGTTGTTTTAAACATCTTATGCAAAAGAAAACAATCACTCTTCACTTATCAGTGTTTTATGTTAATCTGAAATGTGTTCGATGTGTTTTCATAAATATTTGTACAAGTTACTTCAAGATTTTCATAAAGCATTGGTTAGAGAACATTAGTTAAATGGAAAAAAAAAGGAGTTAAAATATGGAAGCAGTAAATACGCTACAAGCAAGTGGAATGATGGGGATTGGTTCGGGGGTAGTAGTATCATAATAGCAGGACACAGTACCCGATGATCTATCTTAATTTATTATTGCTCATCTCATGACTCATGTGCCTTTAATTGCCTTTACATACCTTTTTCCTTCGCTTTTATTTTTTTTTTGAAAGAGGAAAATTCTTATTTCAAATGATGCAAGTAGAAGTATCTTTGTTATATTATAGTATAGTACATTGATGATTTAAGCTTCACATCTGACGAATCATATCTCACTAATGAAGTCAGAAGAGAGAAAATCGTGATCTCGTTTATTTAGAACAAACATTAAAAGAGAGGATAGAGAGATCCGAACAAATATGAGAGAAGAAGGCACACTGAGAAACGAGCCGACATGCACGTGCTCTCTTCCCTTCATACGCGTTCGTTCGTTCTCATCGGATCCTATGAGCTTCTTTCATCCAACCGTCCTTATTTCTCCACGTGCAATGCTCTAATCCTTTTCACCATTTGGAAAATGACTAGTTCAATAATTTACCCACCGTGCAATTATTTTTTTAATCTTTTGAGCACAAAATTTGTATCACGGGCTACACTATTTTTTTTTTTTTTTTTTTGGTAAAAAGGGCTACACTATTTGTTTCTTGTTTTGTAATTCTATGAACTAAATTTTCATTACAACTAGAAAATAGTAATTGAATTTACAGAAATATAGTCATATTGTCAAAGCGAGAACAATTATTTGTAGTGTAGAGAGATTTGGTTAATCACGTGTAATATAGATAATGATATGGCTTCCGTCAAATCACATATTATAGCATTATATCGTAGCTTTCAGATTTTCAAACTTAAGTTAAAAAGTGGTATTGATTTGCTACTGTTCTTACTGTAATGTGGATCTTTCTAAGATAAATTCAGTAAATGGACCTTATAAAAATATGCAGTATAAATTCTTCAATGACGTATGTATTTTATAAAGTTTTACTCCGTATAACAAATGGTGAGAAATAAAAAGTAGTGGTGTACACAATCTAACACGTTCCACTGCTTCACTCTAAAGAGTCATCACCAAACACTTGCCTTCTCACTTCTTTGTCCTCTTCCCTCTTTCCTCTTTCTTCTTTCTTCCTCAAGTTCACTTATTCAGATTCTCTCACCAGACACAAACTCCAGATTCATCCGACAATGGAAACTTTCAGAACATTCCATCTTTTTCTTTTACTTCTCTTCTTCTTCTTCTTCACATTCACTACTACACTGACGTCACCATCTCAGATCGCTGACTGTACAATGTGCACTTCTTGTGACAACCCTTGTCAACCAAACCCTTCTCCTCCTCCACCGTCAAATCCATCTCCTCCGCCTCCAGCTCCCACCACCACTGCCTGTCCTCCACCTCCTAGCTCCGGTGGTGGTGGTCCTTACTACTACTACCCTCCTCCTTCTCAATCTGGCTCTTACCGTCCACCACCATCTTCCTCCGGCGGTGGCTACTATTATCCACCACCTAAAAGTGGAGGAAACTACCCTTATACACCGCCGCCAAACCCTATCGTTCCATATTTTCCGTTTTACTACTACAACCCTCCGCCGCAATCTGTTATGTCCAGATCCGATGCAAAGATCAGATTCTCTTACGGAGTTTCATTTCTTCTTTTAGTTTTCTCTCTTTGTTTCGGTTGCTTTTAGTTTATATATGATTAAAGAAGATAAATAAAGGAAGAAGTAGCTTTATTAATATATCAACCAACAGGTTAATTTCCTCATATCCTTGCAGAGATTTTTGCAGACAAGAAGGTAGAAGACAAAGACTATGCATGAGAGATCTTCACGCTACAAATATTGAAACGATGAAATTATTGTTTCTCCATTTTTATTCTGTATTTTGTTTTACTACTTTTTGCTTGTACAAGTAGAAATATATTCGTACTTCTATCTTTAACAAATTTGTGTTTAATGAATGCAACTCTTTTTTTTTTTTATAATAATAATAGAACTCCTAAATAAATGGGCTCTATAATTACTTTTTTGTACTTACATTCCAATCTCAAGAAACTAGTTGACGCAATAGTTTGGTTAAAAGGACAAAATAGAAAAAAGCTGTATAATATTTATATACCAATAGTATAACATCAACTATCATACATTTTACTTCATGACTATTATACATTTTACTTCATGATCTATCAGATGTATGATATTAGAGATGTAACAAGAGCCACACACACACTCAGAGGAGGTAATGAATAACCCACTCGAGGCAATTTTGGGTCCTACTTTCTTCTTTGATAATGGGAAAAGCCCAAAACTGCTATAAGTGCTTTTGGGCCTACACGTTCGACGAGCATCCTATGTTAGTTGATGTTTCAATTTTGGATTTCATCTTCATTATTTGTTTACGACAAATTATGTTTGTTTTAAACCAGTAACATGATATTCTGATTCTGACAACGAAATTTGGTGATTAGCGATTAAAAACCAATAAAATGTAGTTTTGCTTTTTATCGCTAATAACGGAAATGTGTTACTAAATCAGCAATGGGATAAGAAAACATAATGCTTTTTTTGTCCAGTTTTGTTGCAAATCACTAACCAAAATTAAACGGACAACATAATAAGATCAAACCATTACTATTTTGGAGTCAAACATGATAAATAAAGATACACACAAGACAAAACTATCAAATGTTTTCGAGATGACGTGTTAATAGTTGAATTTCGGTTCAAACTTATGTGGAAAATTAAACCAACTCACATTTTTAAATTTTTTTTGTGAAAAGAATGAATATAACGGATTAAAAGCCATTCAACTACTCTAAAATTTTGTTAATAATTTCCTTTTTTTTTCGTTGAGTGGGAGTTCCTTGCTTAAGTCATTAGCAACATATATAATCTTTATCTTCTCTCTTAATCTGTTTCTTTACACGAAAATGAGAGTTTCTTTTTCATTCTTTCTTCTAAGTAAAAGATACATTAAATTAACCAAAGAGATTTTGGAGTCATTTTGCTACTTTATACTTCAAAGTCAGAATCAGTCTCCGATTTTATACAACTAATGTTTTTAGCTTGTGTGTCAGCATGTTCACATTGGTGGGTCTATTTGCATGCAAGTGTACACACAGAGAATCTCTAGTTTTAATAGTGTTAACGCTTCTTCATTATCATACAATTTGCAGCCGCAAATTTTATCTATAAATGCCATTGGCCTATTATCCTTCCACATAAGACGACACACATAAAAGTTATATAAAATCATTTTACATTTAACTAAATAAATAAATATCTTTTAATTTTGGGAGCCAGAAAAATGTTTTATAAACTTTTATTGTATTGTAGAAAAAAATGGGACATGAAAATCAAAAAAAGAATCGCATGAAAATGAGAAGAGAGAGTCGCAATTGTCTCCATCACCGACTCTTTAATTTTTTTTGGTTATAATCAAATCTGATTTTATATTCATCAACGAAAAGCCCAAAAGTCATGAGCTGTTTATAGCTGTCTCGTTCTGAGATCACGCGCTTCCAGATCGCGTGGAGGTCTAGTATCCAACTTCCAACAGATGAGTTGATGAACAGCTGGAATTTATTTTGTAAAAAAGGTTACAAAATTTCAAATTCACATTATTGTTCTCTTTCTAAATCTTGATTAGTATTAATGGTACTTTTAAGCAAAAAATAGAAAAGACTATAAGAGAGATTATAAATCATTCAACAGATAACTAACTTGGTAGAAATTATCAGTAGTCAACTAAACCAGAGTTTAAACGAATTAATTAGTAGATAGCAGCATATAACATTAGCTTGCCTCTAAATTACATATATATGATAATTAGGATTAATAACCCTCTCTTCAACATTTCCTCACTAACTTATTTTCCCTAATCTCTCTCAACCATTCAGACAAAAAAAAAGAGTCAAGAAACTAAATCTCAACCACAAGAAAGAGCCATGAGAAGTACTGCGGCTCGTTCCTCTTCCCCAAGTTTCCTCCATAGCCTCTTCTTCTCCACCGCCGATCTCTTCATCGCCGGAACTTTAAACCCAAAATCCAAAAATCTACCAACCTTTTTCACGTTCTTCTTGTTATTATTACTGCTACTGAAATTCTCAGGATCTGTCTTGATCTTGTTCTTGACATTTCCTGGTTCACCTTTAGCAATCTTGACAGTTCGATTTTCAAGATTGAGATTGTTGTTACATTTGTTCTTCATCTTATTGTCCTCTTGTCTAATTCCAAGAGCTGCTTGTCTCTTCTTTCTGCTCTTGATCCCACACGCATTGCACAATGACTGCAAACAAAGATAAACCATGATCAGACTAGAGAACAAATAGTGAAAAATGATCAAACAGATCTAAATTTGAAGATACATGTTTTGAAACATCTTCGTTACAAGGGCAACATAAACAGTGTAACAATAATCTTAACCAGAACTAAGTGTCTACAATTAAGCTCTGATCAATTGGTAGTTAGGCTCCAAACACAGAATCAAAACAAAACATAGAGATCAACTAGATATGTTCAACTTCTATGATCAACTAATTTCAGTATTAACCATACATTGACACCTACATAGATAATGTTACCAAATGATCACATCAATGAGACAAAACCCACTTGCAAAAGAGCTAACTATACAAGATCAACATACATTTCAAGTGGATTCAAGTACCTATTTGACTAGATCTAACACAGGAGACCTTAAAGCTTGGATTTTTAGGGTTTAAAAGAAAAGGGTAAGAGAGATCATGATCCTTACTTTAGGTCCAGCAGGTCCACCACGCCAAAGAGGAGTCCTGCTTGTTCCACAATCAACGCATGTCTTCTTCGTATCACCTCCACTTCCACTGCTACTACAGTTACCATTGTCTACATCGGACGAATCTCCCGCCGATTCGAGCTTCGTCGTCTTAGTCTCTTCTGTCATTGACATCTACAAAACAAAGAGACAAGTTTTAATAAACGTGATCAAACAGCTACAAGTAAGAGAAGAAGGATCAAAAATGATCATGGAAACTCACATTGATCCACTTCGAGGTTGAGAAGAATAGAAAGCTCTAAAACTTAAGCAGAAGAATCAGAAGAAAGGCAGAAGAGGGATCAGAGAGAGCTTTTCTTCTGCTTGAAATGGCTCTGTGTGAGGTTTAGAGAGAAAGAGAGTGAAGATGATGATGATAAGGAAGAGAGAGAGACGCCGCAGAGGAGTAACGGATAAAAGAAACGGAGAGGGTTTTTATAATAAAGGAGGAGGCGGGGACTAAAAAACCCTAGATTTCTATTTCTTAATTACTATTTTACCCTCGAGCGGGGGTTTTTATTACTCTCTAACCACCCGCCAAAAAAATAAAACAACCACAAACTGAAAAAAGAAGAGGGAAAAACATTTTACAACAAACAACAACTTGTAACAAAGATCTTGTGGAAGGGGTTTTTTTGGTATCTTGCTTGGTAACCAAATTTGAATTATTTTTCAAAAGCTGGCGCACAAAATTTCATTGGATTTACTTGTTATTATGGTTGTTTCGATTTCTTTGCCACGTTAGATTTCCCTAATTGCTCTTAGAGATGCATGCATTTCTACTCACTACTCACTGTTTTTTTTGTGTAGTTCTTCACCATACATTTTTATTTATATGTGAAATACCAAAAATTGATGTAAGAAGAATATTAAATCGAATACCTAAAAAAAAAAAAACTCATTCTCGTATAGTGTAACTTTTTTCGTGTATTAAAATAACAAATCATAGCTCTTTTTGGGGTCAGTTTCATCTATTTAAAATTTGAATAATCGACTTTTGTATATTTTTAGGTCTTTTTGGGTGCAAGGCTACCTACGCTGCTTAAGACGACAGTGTTTGCATAAAACAATGGATTTTTATAATACTGAAACCCTACTTGAAGTTGACGATAACCATTAATAACATCGATTTATGGACATATGTTGAAAATAGATACGCGTGCATGTGTAGACAATAGCCCAAAATGACTTGGACCGCACTAAAAGAGATTAAAAAAAACACATACTATAAACAATAAAAGGACGAACCAATTGGGCTTTTATGTCACCAATAAGACCAAATAAAGTTTGACCAACTTTTTTATGTTTGACTTTGCAGTGTTGTGTAGTACAAATGTAACAAAAACCCAGAGAGGCACATTCTCATCACACTTAAAAACCCTTTCCCAAATTTCCCATTTATAAAAAAAAATTATCCCTTGATGACTCCTACCCAACTCCCCCCAAACAAGCTTATTTCATGACTCAAACCCACCAACCACTGGATCTGACCGGACCAGGCCAGACCAGACCGGACCAGGCCAGACTAAGTAAGGCACCCCATCTGACTTTTACACAGAAGACCAGACTCTCTAATCAGACCCTTTTTAACCAGTGCCCCCAAACTCTTTAAGCTGCTTCAACTCTTCAGACTCATCATGCTCAGCTCCTGTTGAAACAAAACCAGACTCAAGATTTACACATGCAAGACACAAAGCCAGATCGACTCTGGCTTCCTAGTGTACGCCTCAAATGCTCAGACATCTGGACAGGATTAATTTGTCCCAAGTAATAAGTTTTACCTTCATTTGAAGTTGAATCCACCTGGCGGTACGGCTGCATCAGTACCTCCTCCGAACTGGAAGCCTTGTGCAGAGGGATCACCAGGTGGTAGAGTTTCATCTTCCTCTTCCAACCAGTACGTTTCAAGAATCTTCACTGCCTTCTCATAGATTTCGCTGTTGTCATGACTCTGCAGATTCTCAATCTTTTCTAATCCCTCAGCATCATCAATCAGCTGTGCATAAAAGTTTACATCCCCGGTATTTCCTGTGACCTTTTCAGCTTCCCCGACTTTCAAAATGTTCTCCAATCCTTCCAGACACACTGTGATAATCCTTGGATCAGGGCACACCAGAAGATCACACAGTGGTTTCACGACTCCCTGTTCCACCATGTACCTAAAAGACGCAAGGGAAGAATTTAACTGACTGTTTGAAAAAGAACCAACAAAGATTTCAAAGGAATTGAGATCAATAGAAGATGGGGCTTCTATTTGATAATCTTACTTGATCTGGTCGGGAGAACCGCCCGAAGTGGCATTTGATATTGCCCATGCAGCTTCTTTCTTTATATCAAACTCCGCATTTTGAAGCAGATTGACAAGAGGGCAAATCAAACCAGCTTCACAAACAGCCTGCATTACCACAAGAATATTAGAGAACATAAACAGACAGAACATCTTTCTTCAAACAACAAGGCTTCTGAAACATGTCATCCAACATTAGTGTATGAGAAACTGGCAAGCTGAACAGAAACAACAATCTTTAGCAAAAGTTCACCTGAATCTGGTCCCTGTTTCCAGCAGTGATATTTGAGATTGTCCAGCAAGCTTCCTTTTTGATGCTCTTCTTATGATTGTGAGTCAGAAGGCTCAAAAGGCTAAGAAGTGCACCATGACTAATTACACACTGCAGAACCAACCAAAGAAGAAAGAAAAAAGTGAGGAATGGTAAATGTTTGAGATTCTTAAGAGTATTATACATCTAGAGGAGGACTGCTTAAATTAGTCTAACTATTCAAAAGGAATGTTAGGCATTGCATAACTAGGGTAAAAAAACATGCAGGATACTAGGGGAAACAGAACAAAATATAGGAAGAATTGACGGTTCCCATTTTAGAGATTCACCTAAGATTTGCAGGGTGATCAAATTTGACAAGTAACGTTTGACAACCAAATGTCATTATCAACAAGCTCAGATTCAGCTATCTAAGCCAGTGGTGTTTCATTCTTCCCATTAACATTGGATCATGTATACTGAATAATAGGAATGAATGACACTATAAAAGAACAAACATACCTGTGTCTGCAGATCATCTCCAGTGACAATGTTACCAATACTACGAAGCGCAGGAATAAGCACAGATGGTGATTGATGCCTACAGAAAAGTAAAATTTGATAATATTCATTAACACATAACATTCATTCTACAAACACGGTGAACTCATGGGATTCGAAACTCACTGGAGAAGCTCGACGAGTCGAGGAACAACACCTGCCTCAATGACAGATTGGATTTTGTCATTTGTGCCATCGGAAAGGTAAGAGAGAGCCCAACATGCATCCGTTAACACTTCCTCATCAGTCGAATGAATCAGGCGTTCAAGGGCTGGAAGTGCTGGGCGGACCTGTTATTAAGAGATCACAGATATTAAAAAGAAAAATTCCTTGATCTTTGGGCAGAGATTAAGATTGAAATGAGAGACAAACCTGGTCAAAGGGAGGCTGTGGCTTGCCCCTGCAGAAATTTGAGAGGGTCCAAGTAGCATTTCTCAGCATTGAAAGTTTAGCATGCTCATTCAACTGAGAGAGCAATGGAATCAAAGCTCCTTGACCAAGGACAAGATCTCTGCACCGTGGAGAATCACCAGCAACATTCCCTAATGCCCAAACAGCCTTACACATGAAAAAGATAAAGGAAAAAAACTTCAGAACATGCTTGTTCCCGACAACAAACAAAAGTTGACAATATATCAAGTCATGAGCAAAAAACATAGACATATATCTTACCTGCTCACGGACATCATCACTCTGAGAAGCCAACAGTTGAACAAAAATCGGAACAGCACCATGTTCAATGACCACCTTAGTATTCTCTGAAGTTCCAGACGCAATGTTCGTCAATGCCCAAGCAGCCTCAAACTGGAGCCACACACATACACACACACAGTATTTTAAGTATCAGACGATAAGTCTAGCAAATGTAATTATGTAACAGATACATTACGGATCCACCAAACCTGAAGCTGTGGATAATCCTCTCTCGTGAGAAATTCCACAAACCGAGGCACAACACCAGCATCAATCACCTCTTCAATCGGAGGACTACGCTCTGCCAAAGTTCAAAAACCATAGATTCATTTCAAGAAATTCCCAAATCGAAAGCAACAAACTTAACAACCTAAATCCAAAAAAATTACCAATAGAAAGCAATTTCCGGAACTGAGTAGTCGCTTCAAGCTGTAAACTTCTATCATCTGACCAAACACCACCAACCATAGAAGGCAAACTCTCCAACTTACCAAAACCAAAATCAAAAAACCCAAATCGATCTAATTAGCTCCAAATCAGAGAACAAAACACAAACCCTAAGAATCAGTTCCAGATCCCTAGTAATTTACCTTCTTCTCAACAGTTGAAGAAGCAGGAACAGAAGAAGGAGCGAATTGAGGTAGCTGATTAGCTTGAAGACCTTCACGACGCTTCTTCTGTAAGCTTTCTTCACGCTTACTCTTACGGATCTCAACCATGTTATCCTCTCTCCTCCGTCTTCCTTCCTCAGCATCCACCGCTACTTTGTAGCGGTTCCGACGAACCTCAGTCTTAGCGTTAGGTCTCAAAGACATGGTGACTAATACGAATCTCCTCTTCTTTGATTCGTGCCGGTGAATGAAAATGATGAGCCAACGAGAGTGGAGACGATGTTTGTATATATATCAAAAAAGTGTATGTAGAGAATCGGCGGATAGATAGAGGATGATAAACCCTAAACGAAGTAGAGGGGAACGAGAAAAAGAGGAAAAAGCACAGAGATAGAGAAAGATTGAATTTCGTTGGTTTACAAAAACATTTTGGTAAATCTAAATCTTATAAGAAAATTTAAGATTCGTTACAGAGACCATTAATATACTTAAGTTGACTTGTTTATTCATTAATCATTACTGTCTTTACCACCGACTAAATTTTTTTTTTTTTTTTTGGCTTTGTGAAATGGTACATACGACTTTAAAAGTATTTTCGATTTAGATAAACACAATGATCACTCAAAGAAGGCTCAGCCATGTTTAGACTTTTTTAAGGAATACATATATGTACGGCTGAGACATCTGATTTCTGAGGTCTTTTTTTTTAATGTTAAAATTCTCTCAAGGAAAAATAAAACATGGTGATGGTTTTAGCGGAGATCCAGGACTTCGTATTTGAGTTTGGCATTGAGGAAGACGTGTGAGCAATGCTCGTATATAGGGTTACCGTCTTCTGATTCTTCGTGTGGGTGGAAGCCTCGTTGCTGGCAGTTACGGATCACTGATACGCCTGATGGATCAGAGAGATGGAATATTCCGTGAGGTGTTGATTCGTCTGTTGGAGCCATTACGATTGCCACTGCCTCCGGTAGCATTATCTGGTGAGATAGAAGATATAGACAATATGTTAAAATAAATGTAGATAGATAATCGTCCAACTATTAATGCATCATAAGAAAAATTGAAAGGGGAAGTTTTGTTACCTGATATGAGTAGTGTGTGTGAAGATCAACTGATGACATGAAGCAAGTTTGTGTAGGATGTGTCTGAAACCAAAATGTAAATTAGCCAGAAGAATTGATAAAGCTTATCAACTAGTGGATATATGGATTCACAATTGTTCTGAGCAACTTTTTGGTAAGTCAATATCTGGAAATGGAAGATCTTTTTGTTCGGGTGAGAGAACTTACATGAATCCAACCCAAGGGAAATAGAGAGAGTCTGTCCTGTACTTCGAATATTTCTTCCTCGTTTAGTGTTTGGCACTGTACATTAACAAATGAAGAGGAACTAAGTGTGAGCAGAATCCCAGGGGAGAATTAAAAAGGTCGTTATTGATGTATATGGTTAAGAAAAATGAACAACATACAGAATCTGAGGTAGACTCCTGCTTTGGGATTATGAGAGTAGTGATATGAAAAACCCTGTTTTTCTGCAAAAAGTGCAAATAAACAGTATATAAGTGATCATATGATATTGGAATGAAATAATATAAATGCCAAGGTTCCATCTACTCACCAGAGAGCCAGCAAGTACTCCACAAGTTTCTAAATTCCTTTCTGTGTTTGACCGAGCTAGCCTTAGAAAATCATCCATTATGCGCACAGGCTTCAGCAGATTTAAATAAAGGGAGACGACATTAGAAGTAGATTAACATGACGTGAAAGGGAAAATTTTCCAGCACTGTAATGGGCATGAACCCAATACTTTGATATAGAATATATTTTCCAACATAGTACTACTCCAATGTTCCATACAATAGTTTCGTCTAATTTAATGTGTTGATTCTTGACCACATACATAATAATTAGAATAATCATGGATAATTTTCTACTTGAAATGCATATCCATTCTACTTTACTCTCACAAACACTAAGGAATTGGTGGAAATTGCAAAAATATGAAAGAAGAAATAGCTGGAACTTACCACATGCAAATGCTGGTAAGAATTGCTGCCTTCTTTTCCTTCTAGAGAAGGAATTGCAGGTCCTGGTCTAGGATCAGCAACTTTAGATGGGCAAATTTGGGCTAACTCTTGATGCACTTGGGCAAGCACGGGAGGAGGGGAAGGTTGCTTCATACCAACAAACTGAAATGGGTCTTCAGTTGCGTCACTAATAAACTGGGAATTTACTGCTTCAGAATGACGCTGCCATCGACCATCATCTAAAGAGAGCACAGAGTTCAGCGTTGAGACCTCTTGAGAATCGCCATTAAGTGATGCTGAGGAAACGCTAGGTCCAGCTTCAATTAAACTGTAGAAATACATAGAGTCAGTGAGAAATAGCCATGACTTCTATAACGAAAAGCTTACTAGGCAACAGAAGATGAGTACTTACCCTGAATTGTCTGCAGAACCCCAATCTGTATTACTCGGATATTGAACCTGTCATCCCATTCAAAATAAAGACTTTTCTCAGTTCCTTAAGATCTAAGATAATTAAATATTGGACTGGACCAAGAAGAAAAAGAAAAGAGTGAGAAAATGTGGTAAAGTTAACAATGATCAGCACTATACCTTTATCTCCGACTTGGGTGCAACCCATTGACTTTTAAGACCATTCGGACCTAGAAATGAATGTCTTGACAAAGTTGCTTGGTTTGGAGGCAGAAAATCAAAAGACCTGCAGGTTCAGGAGCACAATTAAAGTCTCAAACTCTCAATGATCATCTCGGATTAATATGGAGTAGCACTTGAGTTTCATATACTCATTTCTTGTTTCGATATCGCACAAACCAAAGTAGAATTCTACAAAACGCAACCACTAAGTATCTTAAACATGATACCATAAACACAAAAGCCAAGCTGCGTTGGCAGTTTAGTCCATCAGAATGACAATTTTTCTGGTAATAAATGACCCAAACATCATATATTTATGGTGATCATAGAAACAGACAGATGTAAAGTAAGAAAACCAGAGACATAAATGCTCAGAGAACTTATGGTGTTTGACTTCTTATTAAACAGAATTACCGACAATTATATTAAGGGAGAATACTTACAGCTTCTGGAATTGCTGATCAATCTGTGTAAGATTTGAAGGTGAAGTCAGATTATTGTTATACGTCCAAGATGGTTGAGATGTCGGTAATGGCTGCATCCAGAGAAGACAAAAAAAAAGACAAAAGGCATTGCTGGTAAGAAATCACATGGATTTTGAAGATGCAATGATTAAGTTAAAGAAATAGAAATCCTAGAATATTATGTACTCAATGCAAATTCCAAGTCTTAGACCTTGTTAATATCAGATCTGGAGTATGAAGTTTTGTGAGCAGGAGGCCATTCAACAGCATCTGAACTATATGATACGATCGGGAGATCACTTCCAACCAGACGGGATTCATCCTCAACTCTGTTCAGCTTATCAACTAGCCGGTTGAATTCCGGTTTCAGAGACTCGAGCTCATTGATTACAGCACGCAACCTCTGTTTTACAAAAAAAACCAAATCTGAGGACACTACTAACTCTAGTAACACGAAACAACATTCGGAGGATAAAACAGGAATACCTGACCTTCCTACTCCCAAGTCTTTCTTGTGGAAGCGATGCCTGGTAATCTCGATGGAAAGGAATTGTTTCAGAAATCAAACTGTAGAAAAACAAACAACAAACTTGTAGCTCTTTCATGAAACATACAAAAATATCAAGTTTCATATAGTGATACTTTTATCCTCACCTTGAATATCTAAGAAGCATGATATACAAATCCACCACATTCTTCTCTTCCCGATATATGCTTGCCTGAGCAATGTTCAAACTTGTTACCATTTGATTTTGTAACTTTCTCAGAAATCAATCACTCCAAAATCTAATCGATAAACTAAAAACTTTCAGTCGCCACCTAAACCTAACAAAATCAATACCAAGTTTTACATTCTCCAGTTCCTAAACTTGTCAAATCCTAAAGATGCTTAAACATGAATTAAGAATCTACATCTAGAGTAAAATTGAGATGGAGAATCGAATCTCCGTTGCGATATCGGGAATAGACCTGTCGGAGGAGATTATCGGCGATGCGGTAGTAATTACGGAGAGGAATACGATTATCGACTTCGATTTTACGAGCCACCTTGTTCAGATCAATCTTCATCTCGCCGTATCCGATTATACAGTTTAGTCTTTCCCGTTTTCAAATCACTCTTCCGGCGAAAGTTTTGCTGAGATCGAAGGATCAATGGCGCTGAGAAAACGTAAGAGACAGAGAAGAGTTAAAGGTTACAACTGTGTCGTTTTGAGAAACCAATGTCGACATGATTACCAACCTTAGTTAAAAATCAGTCAATATGAGTCCGTTTCCAACCAAAGAAATTTATTGGGCAATGTCGACATTTGCCTAAACTTTAGGGGTATATTTGGAATTATAAATGTGAAATCATTCGTTTTTTTCTAAACTTTCTTTAAAACGATGCAATAAATAATCTTACGTAAACTATACTATGGAGCTGATTGGTAACGACTGTTATTTTTGGTTTTAAGGACTTTCACTGTAAAGATTTTGGTTGTAGAGACTTTTGTTGTTAGGACTTTGACTGTAAAAACTTTTATAACTGTTTTTGGTAATATCTGACGATTCTTTCGGTATCGACACTGTGATTTCCCACAAAACATGTTGGTCTAACTCGAATTTAGCTTATATCGTTCTTTAGCCGTAAAAAATAAAAACCTTAACTCAAAAAGGTGAATAATCTTTTCTACTATATGATACAACTTATAATCCATTCCAGCTACAAGTATAAACCCAGCCACAAAATGTTAAAATAAATAAGAGCACTTAAATCACTGGTGAACATTTAAAACTAATGTACTATGCTACATATTAATTATTTAACCTCTCATCTAATTAGTAATAAACTATTTCATGTTCGTTGACTCCAATTTTCATATGTTAAAAAGAAGTTTTACCAGATTTGTTATCTTCATTTTCTTGTTTAAGGAAAAAACTAAACACCAGAAGGTTTATGAATGGATCAAAAGAAAAAAGAAAGAACACAGCAACAATTGTCTGCGCAATTTATTGAAACGACAAGCATTTTTATGAACCAATAGCGAAAAAAAAACCGAACAAACTGTGCATAACTGCACACAAGTTTTTTTATGGAAACATGAAACACGTGAGTAGGCTCACTACCAAACCAATCACGTTCCACCATTTCCACGTCAAACCCTTTTCCTTGTACCCTAAAAGCTCGACTCTGTCTGCAAAAATTTAAAACAATTTCTTAAAAAAATTATCTGTTTAAAACAATAAATTGCATTTACATACTATGAAAATAACAAAAAAGAAATAAAAAGAAACTAATAATCTTCTTACCAGATTATCATGTCCCGTTGCACATGTGGGTCTTCTAGGGGGAAGTTGTTTGCGAGGCGTTCTCTGAAAATAAAATGAAATAAACCAAAACTTAAGTGAATAATTAAGAGTACTAATTAAATGTAATTACTGGTATAGGTAGATTTAAAACATTACCTGCAATTTGGGTCTTAGTTTTTCTATTGCCGCAATTGTTCTCTGATCTATACTTGCTTCTTGCTGTGGAATATCAAAATATAATAAAAACTATTACAATAATGTTTTCATAAGTCAAAGATTGAAATATGAAGATTTAAAGTTAGATATATTGGCCACACGTGGACCGGATATAATAAAAACTATTACAATAATGTTTTCATAAACGGCCACACGTGCGTAGTTGTTAGGCACATTAGGCTAAGCGCAACATACACGTGTGTGAGCTTTTTAGATATATATTTTTTTCATTTTCTTGGTGGTAAGTTATGAACTTAAATATTATCTCATTTAAGGACTTTTGGTATATAGTCTCTTGTATAGACACATGGAACATAAAAATGATTTTCTCTATTAGAAAATTTGTATGCATTAAGGGTTAATAAATAATATTTTAAAGATAAAAGTTGGGTTTAATATGAGATATCTATATTGTTAAGAAATTTATTAAATATTTAAAGTGGAATATCATCGAATGGGTCCATTTCTTTAAAGAATTTATTTTGTAAATAAAAATAGGTGGAATTTTGAATAGATATATATATATTGTTAAGAAATTTATTAAATATTCAAAATAGAATATCATCGAATGGGTCCGTCTCTATAAAGAAAATATTTTGTAACTAAAAACATGTACAGTTTGAAAACTAGTTTGATCATTTTCAAAGATGGTCTCGCTTAAATAAGTTTTAACTATCATCAAACATGGTCGTAAATTAGAAATAATCAAGAAATAAATATAAAAAACAAGACATTGCGATGAAAGATTTCATCGTTTTTTTTTTTTTTTTTTGTATTAGCTATTTTCGATGAAATAGATAAAAATAAATATTTTGAAAGGGAAAGAGAAGTATTAGAAAACTTAAATAAAAAAAAGATCATACATTTTTTGTTATAAAAACTTATGGGACCGATTTTCTTCTGGGTTCAAGTCTTCTACCTCTCCAAGATCCTCGTCCTCGAGTTTGGTGACACGATCATCATCATACTCGGCAAATCAATCCAACGACTCTCGTTCCTCCACTTCTACCACCACACGACGTTGTTGCTAGGATTAATTGATCTATCGCTCTCAATTGTATGATAAAATGATAATTGAATTGGAAAAATTTCACTACTATTTCATTTATCATTTTGAAAACATATGTTTTAATAAAATATACTAAACAAAAATTATACCGAGAGCGAGATGCGGTCGTATATATTAAATATAACAAAAATTACAATGGTTAGTCAAATAAACTAAAAATTACAAGGGTTCATAAAATAAAACCAAAAGTTTTAATGTTTCGTCAACTAAACCAAATAGTGAAATAGTTAAATTAAATGGTTACAATTTTATTTAAACATATTAGTAACTAAATATTAACAATAATAAATTATGAAAAAGTTACACCGAGAGACGCGATGGTAGATAATTAAATGTTATAACGATTCATAAAATATTTTTGTTTAATGATTTTTTTCAGTTTTTATTTATTTTAAAGTACTACTCAGGAAAATCTTTTATAAAGGGTAAATATTGTGGAAAAGTTTTGTTGCGTAGTCAACAAGTAATTGAGAGGGCATCACTGGAGAATGGAGATGTACTTGTCTTACGCCTACGGTGATTCTGTGAACATAAAGACTTCCTCAAAGTCAAAACGGCGGAGATAAATCAATCATTCGGACCAAAACAAAACTAACATCGTATCGTGACAGGCTTAGTGATCTACGAATCAGAATTTGTATAGTATAAGAACTTCTTTTTCTTCTCTTTCTCTCGCTCTTAACGGAGACTTGGAAGTTGGAACTTAAGTGATCCACCGTGATATAATAGAATAGCCGTTCACATCATGACTATGTTCACGAGTAAAATATTCTTACGGATAACTAGGAGCTTTTCTTATTGTTACGACTTTGAGAAAAGAGAATATCAAATTGTTTAACAATATTAATATAAGTCTAATATTAGAGACAAAAGTTTGAAAATAAAAATAAACATGCAAACAAAAGTTCAGAATTCAAGAGAGAGTTAAAGCGTGTTAAAAAAACAAGTATAAATCAATCTCTCATGTATTTTTCGAGCCAGTTATCTCATACACGATCGGTGTTGTCACGCTCGTCGGCAACAACGCTTTCTTCGTCCGTTTCCGCCGGATTATTGATTCTTCGAATCATTCGACGGCCTCCGTTCAAACTGAGCTGCATAGAATTGATGCTCATTAATAGCTCCATTCTGAGGGCCTTGACATTCTGCCAAAGAGACACTGGACGAGAAGGATCAGGAATAGCATTAATGAGGTTATCAAAATCTCTTTGCAGAGGGATTAGAGGGTAATGAAGGTAGGCTTCTAGCTGCGAGTTGTAACAAATGTGAACTCTCAACCACTTTATAAAAGAATTGTAGCAAGAGAGCTGAAAAGATAAAGAAAAGAAAACAAAACCAAAGTAAGTGATGATTACATTCATATGACCATTGAGTGATAAAAGAGCCGAAAAGAAAAAGAAAACAAAACCAAAGTAAATGATGATTACATTCATATGACTATTGAGTGATAAAGTAATGTAATCATACCTCATCGAGAGCATACTCAATGCCACGAGAATGGTATTTGTTGATCACTTCATCGGAGGCGTTTTGGAACTCAGTATGCATGAGGTGTAGCCACGAGGTTAGCTAAACATAAAAACAGTATATGTAAGTACTTGCAATATAGACATCAGATTCCCATCCTTGTGTGATGATCGTCATGGATCATCAAATGATATATGATTGGTTACAGTGTGAATATGCGCATAGACAATGTCAAACATATTATATCTCCTGCAACGAAATAACTCAGTGGCTTGGTGATAAAGCATTTGATTTCGAAGACTTAAGTGCATTAGTTTATTTTAATTTTGATTTTGTGATTTTAATAAAAAAATATGAGAAGTTAAATGCGTTGAAAAAAAGGTTGGATGCAAATGGAATCAAGTTCCTTATTATGATTGGTAAATCTAAAAACATCTAGTTGTTAATTTTATAAAGACATGTTGTGTTTTTGGTTATCATAGTGAAAAGTGATAGCCAATACATATTTTGTTAACTGAAAATAATTCTTTTACATGGTTTGAATTTTGTTTGTACAACTATTGTTCGAAGTGTGATAATCTGACTTATTACTCATCCTTTTGTGATAATCGTCACATATGGATTATGGACCAGCAAAGGATGTATGACTGGTTATTGTGTAAATATGCACATAGAAAATGACAAACATATTAGATATCTTACGACGAAGTAACTCAATGGCTTGATGATAAGACATTTGATTTCATTCGTTTATTTTAATTCTGATTTTGGTGGTCTTGAATTTGCAATTGATGATGTTTGTTGCCCAGTTCCATATCTGAAAGGGCTCCATGTTCATATACTTTTTCCTATATTGGAAGCTCCTCTATGAAGGGAGTATATGAGGCTTTAAGCCGGTTTTGCCAATCTTTTGTCCTTGTACATGAGTTCTAAATTCCAATTGAAGAATGAGAAAATATAAGAGCAACTCGGCTAGAAGCAATTATGAAGGTAATATATATATTTTTAAGTTTGATTGTGTGAAATCTTGGAGAATTAGTCGCAATAGGAGAAACATCAAATGAGCATGAAAATTTGGACATTGCGCAAAATCATTGGTAGGCTAAGTATTTGAGGTGATGGGATTGATAGCTAGTTTTGGTTATACATTTTGGCTATGTTATCTTTGAATATGATACATTTTATAATTGGTTAGAAGAAAATTATATTTCACTGTTAGAATTATAACTCTTAACTGAATAGTTGATTTTGAATTGGTAGCTAGTTTTAGCTTTGGTATGTCCTATTATTAGAAGAATGATAGTTTATACTTAAAAGTTTGTTTGGAAAAGAAAAACTGCATAGCAAAATCATGTATTTATAATTTATTCTATATTCACATGTACTCAATTAACTATATATCCACGATAAGTTAATTATATAGTATAAGTTAGATATTCACAAATAGTTTAGTAGTAGTCATTTTGTATTTAAATATAAGATGTTTTGGCTAAAAGCACAAATTTTAAGAAACTAATTAATTTCTTTTGTTTTTTTTTTGTTTTTACATTAAATATATAACTTAATATCTAAATAAATATAATTTGACAAATGTTAAATTTACTGCATAATATAAATAGTAACATAATTGTTAATTTAATGTTTTGCATAGAAACTTGACTTTTCTGTTCAAAACATCTTATATTGTGAAACAAAATAAAATATCTAAAACATCATATAATTTGAAATAAAAAAAGTAGTAGATATTCAAATAATTTCATTTTTGTTGGCCTTATCGCTCTTAAAAATGATTATAAATTAGTATCCACATAATTAATTATATTAATAAATATATTATCGTCTTTAAAAAGTTTATTGTTTCGTGGTAACTCGTAAGATAGTTGACCATTATTCGTGTGCATTAGAAAGAAAAAAATTAATTATCATATTTTTAAATTCATTTTAGATATTTGATTTACTTTTTCAATATTTTAGATACACCTAGAAGGCTAGAATATGCGACTACACTAACTAACCCTTAATGGCTTAATTAAAAAATTATACGAATTCGAGCTCCTAAAATGCATATATTGCTCATAGATACTGTATAAGAATAGTGGTTAGACATTATTTTTACGGCAAAAGTGGTTAGCTTATGGATTAAAGTCTATATAATGTATAAGATCAAGCCGATATGTGCCTTACTTTATTTAATACAAATTAGACTATACCTAAGCTCATTGGCCAACGTTTCTGTCATCCCTATTTTTTGTTTACAATGCGAACAGGTCTCCGGCTTTTTCTAATCATAATTTCTTTTCCTTGTTAGACTTTTATTGTGTAGGTAAAAAAAATCTATGTGGACCGGATCAAGCGAAGATCCATCAAGCGAAGATCCGGATGGGGAACACAAGTGTCATCAAACGTATTACGTGGCAGTAGAATAAACCGTTGATTCTGATGTGATACGTTTAGATGAAGATGACTGTCCGTTTTCATTTAATATCTTATTGATAAGATTTTTATGTAAGAAAAAAATATTGTTTTCCTATCAGAAATATCTTCCACCAAACAAATAAAAGTATAAAACAATTCAACCCAATTAAAGTTTAGAAATCATGATATTATTTTGATAATTAGTAATCAAATGTTTATATTTAATTTTGACCAGAAAATGTTAAAACAAAAACAGTGTTTGAATGGTAGAAGAAATCAGATGAAACCAAACGTGTACGCCGTCGTTAAACTGCCGACGATTAGGTTGGTAATTAACCAAAATTATTTTGACTTGTTGACTACTAATCCGACCTTAACTTAAAATCATCAAATTAATTTCTCTAATCAAAAAAATGTTCTACTGTAGTCAACACTTTTTTTATAATTAAAAAAATGGAATTTACCTTAAATTTTTTATTTTATTGCTACCCAGATTCAATACCATCTTTAGAATCAGAATTTTGAAAACCGAATATTCATTTTTGCTCCTAAATCAAAACCTTGAATAAAAAATACTTAAAACATTGCACCACGGATTAGAGAAAAAAACTCATGAAATTAGAGAAAATTCAATAAAAAAATCGCCAATTAATTGATTTGATTACCTCTTGTTGCTGTGAAAACAAGAAATCGTCGGCTCTGTTGCAATCCGTCGACATTTTTGCCTTGTCAAATTCCTTCTTCGTTCTAATCAAATCAATTTAACAATAACAAAACCAATTAAGTAATTTATAAAAACATAAAATCTGCATTTTGGAATTTAATCTAAGCTATTAAAGAAGATAATTAAGTTTAAAGAGAGAGACCTTAAAGAGGTTCGGAGACGAGAAAGATGAGGAAGACGAAATAAAAGACGGTGAGATAAAAAGTATGCGTTTAGCAAACTTGTATATGTATTTATATACATCATACGGCCACACGTGCGTAGTTGTTAGGCACATTAGGCTAAGCGCAACATACACGTGTGTGAGCTTTTTAGATATATATTTTTTTCATTTTCTTGGTGGTAAGTTATGAACTTAAATATTATCTCATTTAAGGACTTTTGGTATATAGTCTCTTGTATAGACACATGGAACATAAAAATGATTTTCTCTATTAGAAAATTTGTATGCATTAAGGGTTAATAAATAATATTTTAAAGATAAAAGTTGGGTTTAATATGAGATATCTATATTGTTAAGAAATTTATTAAATATTTAAAGTGGAATATCATCGAATGGGTCCATTTCTTTAAAGAATTTATTTTGTAAATAAAAATAGGTGGAATTTTGAATAGATATATATATATTGTTAAGAAATTTATTAAATATTCAAAATAGAATATCATCGAATGGGTCCGTCTCTATAAAGAAAATATTTTGTAACTAAAAACATGTACAGTTTGAAAACTAGTTTGATCATTTTCAAAGATGGTCTCGCTTAAATAAGTTTTAACTATCATCAAACATGGTCGTAAATTAGAAATAATCAAGAAATAAATATAAAAAACAAGACATTGCGATGAAAGATTTCATCGTTTTTTTTTTTTTTTTTGTATTAGCTATTTTCGATGAAATAGATAAAAATAAATATTTTGAAAGGGAAAGAGAAGTATTAGAAAACTTAAATAAAAAAAAGATCATACATTTTTTGTTATAAAAACTTATGGGACCGATTTTCTTCTGGGTTCAAGTCTTCTACCTCTCCAAGATCCTCGTCCTCGAGTTTGGTGACACGATCATCATCATACTCGGCAAATCAATCCAACGACTCTCGTTCCTCCACTTCTACCACCACACGACGTTGTTGCTAGGATTAATTGATCTATCGCTCTCAATTGTATGATAAAATGATAATTGAATTGGAAAAATTTCACTACTATTTCATTTATCATTTTGAAAACATATGTTTTAATAAAATATACTAAACAAAAATTATACCGAGAGCGAGATGCGGTCGTATATATTAAATATAACAAAAATTACAATGGTTAGTCAAATAAACTAAAAATTACAAGGGTTCATAAAATAAAACCAAAAGTTTTAATGTTTCGTCAACTAAACCAAATAGTGAAATAGTTAAATTAAATGGTTACAATTTTATTTAAACATATTAGTAACTAAATATTAACAATAATAAATTATGAAAAAGTTACACCGAGAGACGCGATGGTAGATAATTAAATGTTATAACGATTCATAAAATATTTTTGTTTAATGATTTTTTTCAGTTTTTATTTATTTTAAAGTACTACTCAGGAAAATCTTTTATAAAGGGTAAATATTGTGGAAAAGTTTTGTTGCGTAGTCAACAAGTAATTGAGAGGGCATCACTGGAGAATGGAGATGTACTTGTCTTACGCCTACGGTGATTCTGTGAACATAAAGACTTCCTCAAAGTCAAAACGGCGGAGATAAATCAATCATTCGGACCAAAACAAAACTAACATCGTATCGTGACAGGCTTAGTGATCTACGAATCAGAATTTGTATAGTATAAGAACTTCTTTTTCTTCTCTTTCTCTCGCTCTTAACGGAGACTTGGAAGTTGGAACTTAAGTGATCCACCGTGATATAATAGAATAGCCGTTCACATCATGACTATGTTCACGAGTAAAATATTCTTACGGATAACTAGGAGCTTTTCTTATTGTTACGACTTTGAGAAAAGAGAATATCAAATTGTTTAACAATATTAATATAAGTCTAATATTAGAGACAAAAGTTTGAAAATAAAAATAAACATGCAAACAAAAGTTCAGAATTCAAGAGAGAGTTAAAGCGTGTTAAAAAAACAAGTATAAATCAATCTCTCATGTATTTTTCGAGCCAGTTATCTCATACACGATCGGTGTTGTCACGCTCGTCGGCAACAACGCTTTCTTCGTCCGTTTCCGCCGGATTATTGATTCTTCGAATCATTCGACGGCCTCCGTTCAAACTGAGCTGCATAGAATTGATGCTCATTAATAGCTCCATTCTGAGGGCCTTGACATTCTGCCAAAGAGACACTGGACGAGAAGGATCAGGAATAGCATTAATGAGGTTATCAAAATCTCTTTGCAGAGGGATTAGAGGGTAATGAAGGTAGGCTTCTAGCTGCGAGTTGTAACAAATGTGAACTCTCAACCACTTTATAAAAGAATTGTAGCAAGAGAGCTGAAAAGATAAAGAAAAGAAAACAAAACCAAAGTAAGTGATGATTACATTCATATGACCATTGAGTGATAAAAGAGCCGAAAAGAAAAAGAAAACAAAACCAAAGTAAATGATGATTACATTCATATGACTATTGAGTGATAAAGTAATGTAATCATACCTCATCGAGAGCATACTCAATGCCACGAGAATGGTATTTGTTGATCACTTCATCGGAGGCGTTTTGGAACTCAGTATGCATGAGGTGTAGCCACGAGGTTAGCTAAACATAAAAACAGTATATGTAAGTACTTGCAATATAGACATCAGATTCCCATCCTTGTGTGATGATCGTCATGGATCATCAAATGATATATGATTGGTTACAGTGTGAATATGCGCATAGACAATGTCAAACATATTATATCTCCTGCAACGAAATAACTCAGTGGCTTGGTGATAAAGCATTTGATTTCGAAGACTTAAGTGCATTAGTTTATTTTAATTTTGATTTTGTGATTTTAATAAAAAAATATGAGAAGTTAAATGCGTTGAAAAAAAGGTTGGATGCAAATGGAATCAAGTTCCTTATTATGATTGGTAAATCTAAAAACATCTAGTTGTTAATTTTATAAAGACATGTTGTGTTTTTGGTTATCATAGTGAAAAGTGATAGCCAATACATATTTTGTTAACTGAAAATAATTCTTTTACATGGTTTGAATTTTGTTTGTACAACTATTGTTCGAAGTGTGATAATCTGACTTATTACTCATCCTTTTGTGATAATCGTCACATATGGATTATGGACCAGCAAAGGATGTATGACTGGTTATTGTGTAAATATGCACATAGAAAATGACAAACATATTAGATATCTTACGACGAAGTAACTCAATGGCTTGATGATAAGACATTTGATTTCATTCGTTTATTTTAATTCTGATTTTGGTGGTCTTGAATTTGCAATTGATGATGTTTGTTGCCCAGTTCCATATCTGAAAGGGCTCCATGTTCATATACTTTTTCCTATATTGGAAGCTCCTCTATGAAGGGAGTATATGAGGCTTTAAGCCGGTTTTGCCAATCTTTTGTCCTTGTACATGAGTTCTAAATTCCAATTGAAGAATGAGAAAATATAAGAGCAACTCGGCTAGAAGCAATTATGAAGGTAATATATATATTTTTAAGTTTGATTGTGTGAAATCTTGGAGAATTAGTCGCAATAGGAGAAACATCAAATGAGCATGAAAATTTGGACATTGCGCAAAATCATTGGTAGGCTAAGTATTTGAGGTGATGGGATTGATAGCTAGTTTTGGTTATACATTTTGGCTATGTTATCTTTGAATATGATACATTTTATAATTGGTTAGAAGAAAATTATATTTCACTGTTAGAATTATAACTCTTAACTGAATAGTTGATTTTGAATTGGTAGCTAGTTTTAGCTTTGGTATGTCCTATTATTAGAAGAATGATAGTTTATACTTAAAAGTTTGTTTGGAAAAGAAAAACTGCATAGCAAAATCATGTATTTATAATTTATTCTATATTCACATGTACTCAATTAACTATATATCCACGATAAGTTAATTATATAGTATAAGTTAGATATTCACAAATAGTTTAGTAGTAGTCATTTTGTATTTAAATATAAGATGTTTTGGCTAAAAGCACAAATTTTAAGAAACTAATTAATTTCTTTTGTTTTTTTTTTGTTTTTACATTAAATATATAACTTAATATCTAAATAAATATAATTTGACAAATGTTAAATTTACTGCATAATATAAATAGTAACATAATTGTTAATTTAATGTTTTGCATAGAAACTTGACTTTTCTGTTCAAAACATCTTATATTGTGAAACAAAATAAAATATCTAAAACATCATATAATTTGAAATAAAAAAAGTAGTAGATATTCAAATAATTTCATTTTTGTTGGCCTTATCGCTCTTAAAAATGATTATAAATTAGTATCCACATAATTAATTATATTAATAAATATATTATCGTCTTTAAAAAGTTTATTGTTTCGTGGTAACTCGTAAGATAGTTGACCATTATTCGTGTGCATTAGAAAGAAAAAAATTAATTATCATATTTTTAAATTCATTTTAGATATTTGATTTACTTTTTCAATATTTTAGATACACCTAGAAGGCTAGAATATGCGACTACACTAACTAACCCTTAATGGCTTAATTAAAAAATTATACGAATTCGAGCTCCTAAAATGCATATATTGCTCATAGATACTGTATAAGAATAGTGGTTAGACATTATTTTTACGGCAAAAGTGGTTAGCTTATGGATTAAAGTCTATATAATGTATAAGATCAAGCCGATATGTGCCTTACTTTATTTAATACAAATTAGACTATACCTAAGCTCATTGGCCAACGTTTCTGTCATCCCTATTTTTTGTTTACAATGCGAACAGGTCTCCGGCTTTTTCTAATCATAATTTCTTTTCCTTGTTAGACTTTTATTGTGTAGGTAAAAAAAATTACTAACCAAATATATTGAATATTTTAAGAGATATTCTCTTAATCTTATTATAAAATTTAAATTTATAATATTCAGAACTTTTGAAAAAGGTCTATGAATTTAGTCTAAACTAAATCAGAAGTTCAGAACTCACTCTTAAAAAATAATAGTTTAACTAAATCACAGTTTATTGATACAAGAACGAAACACAGTTTAATGTTTAAGAATTATTCTTTTATAAACTTATATAACAGACTAGTAAATTGAGTTAAGAGGTTGCATACTTGCATGTAATTTAAAATTGAGTCAGGAATTATACTGTATATCTATGTGTTACTTTTACATTTTTCTTTTAACAAGTTGGGGATGGATCTTCTCGAAAAAGAACACTATTATTTTTATAATGCCACTTTGTAGAAAACTCTATCGCCCTTGCATGTTTTTTTTCGTCGCCAACTGATGTTTCTAGCCCTTGCTTCAATTATTCTCCAGAAAGAACATTTAACTTATTAATTATATAGTTCTTTAAATATAATATTGTAACAATCTTGGACATCATAAAGGTCTAAAGAAATTAACAGTTAATCAACGAAAGCATATAAAATAAAACATGAAATGAGAAGTCGGCAACCAAATTTTTAATTGGTCTTCATTAGCTTAACTCGTAAGTCAAATCAATTTAGATAAATATTATTAGTGTCTAAATCTTAATAAACCGTAATTATTTTGGGACTCTTTAAAAATTTAGTCCATATTTCCATTTTTACCAAATTAAACAAAGAAAATATTTTTAAAAAAAAAAGATAAAAAGGAAACGTAAATTTTAACTTTAAATTTGAAAACTAACATTTACACTTAAATCAAAATCCGAAATCTTAAACTCGGAAAATGTTGTATTATTTAGTTTTTAATGGAAAATTTTAAAACTTTTTACTCTTTAAAGAATTTTTGTTTTAATTGTATGTCTTATTTTGTAGAAAAATTTGGACCGTCCGGTTAACTGTCTCTTTCTCGGTTCTTTTTTTTTTTGGCTTCTTTCGGACCAGACCTACTGTACATCGTATCTTTCAGTATTTGTCAACTAGTTTAAAGGGCAAGTTCATAAATGGGACCTACATCCTGTATTAGCCAATAATATCGTGCCACGTTTTACTCTCTGTTATTTGTCACACGCGGAAAAATTAACTTTGCAGGATGCTATTTTTTACTTTTAGTGAAAGGGTTTCATTCACTTTGGCCCGCTTCTTTAATTTGTTTTAACATTTACCCACAGTGTTCTTGAATTATTAATTTGGTACCCAATGAATTATTTTCAAATGATCGTATAAAGAACTTATTTTCTACTGAAATATTATTAAAGCATCAGTACTCTAATATATTTAGGTCAACCGATGTAATTTTACGAAGCTATATTTGAAAAAAACAAATAATTAAAAAGAAAAGTTTTAGTCTAATTCCAAAATATATCCACTAAAAATTTCCCGTTTATTATATATCCCTGGAAATTTAATAGACATTATAAAATACGCCAATAAACTAATTTTGTGGAAAATATATTAAAAGGTTTTAGGGGTGTAAACTGTGAATAAAACAAAATGTTGTGGTAAAACAAATATTTTGTTTCCTGCGAGTTAACGCATTAACGTACTAGTTCCGTTGAATCGTCAACACATTGTCACAGACAATTTTATCTTTTAACAACTTCTCTCTTATAAATTAATTTGATGAGCTCGAAATCGGATTTTTTTTCCGTCTCTCTCATCATTTTGCTGATTTCTCAAATTCTGTGTTTACACTAAGTCCATCGACTTGTAATTTCACTTTCTTAGGGTTCTTCTTCATCGGAACTTTAACGATCATCGGACGTGTCTGGAAACGGAGATGGCCGGCGTTGATTCCGGCAGGCTTATCGGCTCTGAGATTCATGGATTCCATACTTTACAAGGTTTGTTCTTCTTCGTCTTCATTCATTAAAATTAGTTTTGACTGTTTTTTGTATTTTTCTTAAATTCGATTGTCTCTGGGTTTTCATTGTCCGATTCTCGATTACTCTTTGATTCTCGTAGCTATTGAACTAGAATTTGCAGATAGTTGTGGAATTGGAGGTTCTTTGTGATTTTAATGTGGTGATCTGAATAAGAATTCAGGGACATTTTAGGCTGATTAATCGGATAGAGAGAAAACTTTGATGTTGAATCTTGGTGATCATGTCTCAGTATAAACAGAGTTCATTCTTTATTCATGTGATATTGAAAAAAGTTAGATGAATATATAGATACAGGAACTTGTGCTTAATGATTCCTTGAGGTTTTTTTGTTGATTAGTGACATTGTTGATTGTGTGTTGCAGATCTAGATATACAAACAATGTTGGATGAAGCATACAGTAGGTGGCTCCGGCCTAATGAGATCCATGCTCTTCTCTGTAACCATAAATTCTTCACCATCAACGTCAAGCCTGTGAATTTACCCAAAAGTAATCAGTTTTTCTGTTATTTGTCATCCAAGAATTATGTCCAGTTTTGGACTTGACTACTACTTGTTAAGAACTTCTTAATCAAAAATATTATTTTTGACTTGGATAAATCTTTTATTCAGACTCTTGTTCTGTCAAATTTTGAATGTGTTTGTATTTGGCAGGTGGTACGATTGTGTTGTTTGATCGTAAGATGTTAAGGAACTTTAGAAAGGATGGTCATAACTGGAAAAAGAAAAAGGATGGAAAGACAATTAAAGAAGCTCATGAACACCTGAAAGTGAGTTTTTTTTAATGTCTCTGAGTTCGTATGCGCGTTTGTCTCCTCTCCTCTGCAGCTAATATATATGTTCTTTGTGATCTCCGTGTGTTGTTCTTCCATCTTCAGGTCGGTAATGAGGAAAGGATTCATGTTTACTATGCGCATGGTGAGGATACCCCTACATTTGTGCGAAGGTGTTACTGGTTATTGGATAAGTATGTGTCAACAAAAGATTATTGGTTTATCCTTTGAGGAAATTGTTAATTAGATGCCTTCTTTCCTCTGCTTTGTTTCTGAAGGTTATGAAAACAAATCATCTCTTCTTGTAATGGCAGGTCTCAGGAGCACATAGTTCTTGTCCACTATCGTGAGACACATGAGGTTTGTTATCTACCTGTCCCCAGCTTTTCTCATATTTTTTATGTTAGAGGTGGTTATGGGTTAGGATGATGTATTTTTGTTGTTCGAATAGAGTACACCCTTCGTCTGGCAGATTTTAGTTACAAAGATAATATCTTTTTGTGGCCCTCTGAGAAATTTTGGTTAAACAGGTGCAGGCAGCTCCAGCAACACCTGGGAATTCGTACTCAAGTTCAATCACTGACCACTTATCTCCTAAAATTGTGACTGAAGATACCAGTTCTGGTGTCCATAATGCTTGTAATACAGGTGAGAAGGTGTCTCTTGATGATCTTGAGCTGTTACAATTTAAAGTTTGGTGTATATTGGCGATTCTTCCTGACTGTTCACATTATATTCAGTTTTTATTAATTAATCACACTTTTTCTTAAGGGTTTGAAGTGCGCAGCAATAGTCTGGGTTCTAGAAATCATGAGATTAGGCTTCATGAGATCAACACACTTGATTGGGATGAGCTTCTAGTACCAGCAGATATTAGCAACCAGTCTCATCCAACTGAAGGTACTTATAGTACTTTGAGCTTTTCCTTTAAAAATCGCCATCCTTCACAAAAAGAATATCTGGTTCTTGTAAAAAAGGAGCAATGAGATGATGTTGAAACCACTTCACTTTTTTCTTATCGTTTGTTCTCTGCTTACAGAAGATATGCTATACTTCACAGAACAGCTCCAAACTGCACCCAGGGGATCTGCAAAGCAAGTGAGTGAAATCGATGTTTCTAGTCTGCAAGTGGCTTTACCCGTCTTTCTGTTCACCATTTTTTCATCTTGTTTATTGTGCAGGGAAATCACCTTGCAGGCTACAACGGATCAGTAGATATACCATCATTCCCCGGTCTTGAAGATCCTGTTTATCAAAATAATAACTCATGTGGTGCAGGAGAATTTTCTAGTCAACATTCGCACTGTGGAGTAGATCCAAATCTACAGAGAAGGGATTCCAGTGCTACAGGTACTGATCAAGCAGGTGATGCTTTGCTTAATAACGGTTATGGAAGTCAGGATAGTTTTGGAAGGTGGGTGAACAACTTCATTAGTGACTCTCCTGGTTCCGTCGATGATCCTTCCCTTGAAGCTGTATATACACCTGGGCAGGATTCATCTACTCCTCCTACTGTATTTCCTTCTCACTCTGACATACCGGAGCAAGTATTCAACATAACTGATGTTTCACCTGCCTGGGCTTATTCGACGGAGAAAACAAAGGTTTCTCAAATCATACCCTTTTTGCAATATACCTTCTTTTCATCATGTCAACGTTGGTTGGTCCTATAACTGAACAAAACCTTGCTTTCATGGAATTGTTGTTTCTGTCATGATGCTGAAAGGGAAGAAAAGAATTGCACTCTTTAGACTTTGTTTAAAAGAAGAGAGTATTAGATTATCGAGACAGTAACTTAAAGTCTGCCCAAAATATCAAAATGACTGTGTCTCATTTTACTGCGTGTATGTTTGTTGAGGGCTTATGCATCTCTTATGGCTAAGTATGAGTAGTATGTTTGCAGTATGAAATTGTGTGATTCACAATATGAGATAGTGATGAAACTTTGATAGGTAAAGCATACCATTGTGAGAGTCGTCTCTATTTCATATTGCGTCTTTAGACTACGTTTCAAGATCTTATAAGCATTTGTTACTGTATAAAGCTGA